GTGCTTGTTAATTAGTCATAGACCGTCGCTTGTTCAAAATGATTTCAAACACTGCTGTGCAGTTTTGGTAAATGAAATCATTGAAGAGAAACCTTTCCTCGCTTTTACGGGTTTGTGTTCGGGGTAGCTCAACTTTACCGCCCGAAAGCACTACAATTATGAATGAACAACTGTTTCATAAAGTGGTTCCGTTCTTATCTCAAAAACATAGGGCCCACGCCAATGCGTAGTCCACCTTGGACAACTTAGGGCGTCAGTGCTTTTCATTGAAGTTGTCGCCTATACGAACGTCCTGGATCCTCCGTAAAACTTTTGTCTGAGATCCAGTGTCCACGTCACTCGGAAAAGTAAATCAGTTTCTTCGGAAGCTCTTCAGATGGGTTGTAAATAGAAGTTTTCGGAATTGAGACTACTCGTCACAAGAACAAATGATCTTCACAGTTTTGGTCTACCGCAAAGCCGAGATAAAACAGGTGGATCAAAGTTCTTTTACTATCAGCCGTCATCAGTGGCTTGATTGCCTACATATTTCTTGCTGACTTTGAGAACATGTCAATTCGTTGGAACGGTAGAACGGATAATTCACACACAAATCCTGATAGCTGGATTCATACTGAATTTGTTACTGATCACGTTGGTTACAAGTGAAATGTGAGCCTTAAGAAAAAACATCTAGTTCAGACGATTGTGTATGACACATACCTGATCTGGACCGTCAAAATGGATAATTTCTGATTCAGGAACCAGGCACAGGGTTTGAAAACACAAATGACATGCAGAATTTTAACTTTCTATCCGATCACAGGGATGAACTTCGTCCTATCGAGCGCAAAGTCCAATCAAAAACTCTGGGTATCATTAGGAAGGCTAAGCTGTGTGGGAATATCGAAATATGCGGAGATGCAACAGTGTGACTGCCGTAAATCAGTGAAGGAAGTAGTAGAGACAGCCGCATCAAAGAACGTGTCTTTAGGTGTGAGAATGGATAAAACTGGACCAGCTGGAGAGAATAAGACACCGAGAGTTTCCTATAGACTGAGCCAGGTATAGCACGAGCGTAGACTGTTTAGTACAGAGTCCCATCCAAGCGCATATAAGGATACATGGAACTGATCTAATTTCAAATTCCAGGTGAAAATGCGGCTATGTGAAAAGGAATTGAAGGCGAACCCCGAAGCCATGTTGGTCCATGGTAGAGAAGAAAACTGCCAATCAGGAAGCAAAGATTACTAGGAGCCCAAGTGTACTAATGTTCGTAATGACACGACACATAGACAGACAACGTAGGTCAAAGAATGAAAAATAAAGAAGGACAACGAGGTTGTGTGATGCTGGAGACTGAAGGCGGTGAATAAACAAGGGTTGATTGTGGATATAGTAGTACTGTGAAAGGGGTGATAAAATGACATTTTCCCCCTGGCTCAACTTAAGGCTCCCCTCTGAATTGACTGCGCCTCTTTTGAATGTTTACTGGGAACGTTTATTTATTGATTTGAATTTTGTGGATAGAGTTTCCATCCCATTGTTGAGAATTTTCTTATCCATTCTCCATACTCATTCCGTGCCAGGTAAATTTTGGGACTGCATAGTTGCTTAGCGGCATTCAGGAGTACTACAGATTTGCAACATATCCGTAGCGGAATTGTCACACCAAGTCGTGCTTTGATATTGTCAAAACAATCTTTGACTGTCCGTGACTTGGGGAAACTCAGGAAACCGTACAGTTGGACGCAGCAACTTATCTAGATTGCGTCAGCTTGGTCCCGTTGAATTTCTTCCCGCTTTCAGACCAAAATAATTGGATTTTGGTCGTCACACACAATTGAGATCGTCTTTCGGACTGAAATATATCAAAAGTTCTAGTCGCAGCATCGGAAGACGACTTATCAGTCAAACGCATATATCAGTCTCCCTCGCTTTCGGATGCATAAGAATTGAGCACATCATGGTTTGGTCCCTCCATCATTCTACACCATCCTGGGAATTCCAACGATATCGTGAATACAGTTCGCTGATGACGCGCGCCGCATGCTGTGCAGTCTATTTGAACTCTCACTTGGCATGCATCGGCTCACACGACAGAGGAAACGTGTCACATCCCTTCGCATTTTCTAAGACTGAAACTGACAAAATACCAAGTTCGAGTGATGTGTGACACTATTTCAAAGGTTGCTGAAAGAGGAGAAGGACCTAGCGAGTGTTCACACTAAAAAGCCCGCTAAAACAAGTGGAATACCACACGATACTCGACATGAACTCAGAAGAGTTTGGCTATGCGCACTCTACCCATGGACAGCCCAATGAATACCGGACGCTGTTCTGAGGTTTGTGTTTCATCTTCCATGCAACTGTTTTAAACCTGGACAAGGTCTGTGAAGCCCTTCTCCACAGAATCCACTAAGAAACGACCCAGCTGAAGGTCAAACTGTATCTGCTACCTTGTCCTGGATATTACTTAAATGGCAGAGAGGTCTGCCCTGAAGTCAACACGATATATGAGACCTAAAGGTAATCCTTGCCCGAAGTCCCGCAAAAAGCTATTCTAATCCTTCTTTTATACCTGATGGTTTTCGACTACCTCCAGTGAAGTCTGAAGAGTCCAGTTCTGCTTAAAGCCAGCAATGTTAAGCCACAGAGAAGTCTCAGCTTCGGAATGAGCTGTCTTTAGATTCAAGAAGATATTGGGACTCTTAGTGGCTGGGGCAGGCAGGATAAGTGACTGGCGTTTGATTGGAGGAGGCCTCAGGTAATGTCATCGCACATTCCTACTTGGCAGAAAATATCCTACTCTCTTTGTAATGTCAGGCTTACCAATTCATCCACCTGAAAAGTTTGGGGTTCGGTATTTACGCGGAACGTGAATGACAGTGGAAGTCACTCTTGAGATGCCACAGAGGCTTGAGTAGCATTGTTTTTTGAATATAAGTGACTAGTTACAGTAGTCCGCGAGTTGTTATTTCAAAACCGTGGGGCCCATGCTGGAAGTCATCTGTGCTTTCACAGTGTTGTTACCCAAGTTCCATCCGCAGAAATACTAGTTCTTCTGAGAAGGTCCGAAGTCAAGTAACAGAAAATGTGACGGAGATGCTGCAAAAATCACATGAAAATCAGCTGCAGAATCTTGAGCAATATGCTGCTATCTACTAGCTTATGATTTACCATTTCGTGACGGAATGAAAGATTCTAATTGACAGGAGTCATCCATCCAGTGATATGCCACTAGACGGCGACTATAGCAATCCCCATGAGAACTCTAACAGAACGATTCATCGGAGTGTAAGAGCCTATGCACCATCACACCTCTACACACTCGGTTATGTGGTCAGGGGTAAGCACCACTGTCCGATGTCGTCACCGCTCAGTCTGTTGGTGCGTTCAGTAGAAGGCTTGACGGCTACGTAATGACATACGAATTGTGCCCATGCAACTGGGTTACGGACTAGACTAGGGCAGCCAACTAACATCGAACTGATACTTCATTTCCTTCTACCTCCATATTGATCCACCTTTGTTTCTGTCATTAATCGACCACTTACACATCATGGTGGCCTACCATTTTCCTGCTATTGTTATGGCTTCTTGTTTGTGTTGCCAACGCTTTATCATGTTTACGTCTTGTTTCTTGGGCGATTGACAAGCAAAAATTTCCCTTTTACAAACACTACCTTTGACAGGCTGTAGGCCTGTGATTTTCGACGACTGTCGACGCTTCTTTGACTTATGTCAGTCAGTGATAAAAATCACCTAGGAAAAATCTTTTACGCTTGTTAAATGATTTGTGTTTTTGACCCATCTGATGACTGGTCCTACCACAGTCAAACATCCCAACAATCACACCTTTTTCGGGGAAATCGCACGTTTACTTTCTAAGTTGAGCCGGTATTTAGTAGCCGTCTGTGTTTATTAAAGCTACGGAAGGTCACGCGATGGATCCAATACCAATTTTTTGAGGTGGTACAAAACACTTGGTTCCTTCTCCAATGCTTCTTGCCGTAGTGGAAAACTTCAAGATCTTTGTTGGTCTTTGATGACGTCAACCCTACATAACCTCTTAATGACCTTGTGGCTATGTAGCTACGAGTAATCTTCAGTGTGACTATTTCTTCTGCATCAAACCGTATGGGAGGCTGCTGATACCATCAATGCATGTCACTCTTTTCGGTTGCCAGATTTAGAGCTTGAAGTCAGTTGGCTATTAACCTGTGTCGCTATTTTTCTAATAGACTTCTGCATTTACTCAGTCGCTTCTTGAATGAGGCAGTTCATGGCATGGACACTTCTTCTTCAAGTCAACCTCAGGAGTGTGTTACTTTACACAAAAACCAACACACTGCATGGATGATACTTCTTTTCCGCATTGGTACTCGCCTGCTATACCATCGGAGATATTCAGAATCAGTGAGAAAGAAAAAAGAAGAGAACTCAGGTCCAAATTTACATTTCAAGTCTGCATAGAATTATTAGGTCACTTGTTCGTGTGCGACCCTATCAAGAGAAAATGTTTAGCTCCCGAGGTTGTTTTTCGTGAGCTGAACTAGTGATCCCATAAATCGAGTAAACAGGGGAGATCTCAGAACCCTTTCCGGAAGGTATGAGTCGTTGACTGAACAAGAAATTTCTACTTGTGAATACGTTTCTAATATTGATATAATTTAAGCAGTATATTAGAACATGAACAAATCGCTACAGTTTATAAAGTTGGATATTGGATGCTGAATCTACTGCACTGTAGTCTTTCAGTAGTCCTGAAACGTTCAACAAAGTGAAGAAGCAAGCATCAAGAGAATATAACATAATGTACACATCTTGAATATTGGACATAGGATAACAGTTTTTACAGCATCACTTACATCATACCAGCATGGAAACTAATACAGCGGCTAATTTGATGTAGTTGTCTGAAGTCGCCACGCGTCAAACTGTTTGTCAAACTATTGGTTGATTACGTTAACTCACTAGAGAAGGTTAATAACTAGATACATAAATTTAATGCTTTCACCATGAGTTCTCCTGAATCTGATGATCATGACTTTCAAGTAAGCACAATTTCCTTATCTTAACGTAATGCATATATAGTGCGTGAATGAAATGAATTTGAGGCCTTCGGAAGGTGACTCTTCTCAGAATAGTGTCTCTCAGTATTTCCGTTCTGGGAGCTCTGGAACTCAAAATGTCTTACTGAGAACACAATCAGCGTCAGGAGTTATTCCCCATAAACGTTCTCAATACAATATTGCGAACGTACGCGTCGTATTATCGCTCGTAATTATACCTTACTTTATCTAGGAAACATCATCGTCACAGAGTTTTAAACAGCACCTGAAGAAACTGCACTTAGCTGTTAATAAGGTACTAGCAGATTTTTTCTGACTTCTTATTTCCATATTAGATTTTGGAAAGCGACCGGCTTACCAAACACAGAAGTCCATCTAAAAAGGTATGAATTATTGGTCAAAAATTAACTAATTACATCTTAGAATCTCAAAAGCAATCAGGAAGCTTATGATGAGATGTTAGATGCCATTCGAGAGCTTGGACCATTCGTTGTTCAGCGCCAAAAAGCACCAGCATCCTGTGGTAATCACTCAAAAAACCTAGATCACACGCGATTCCGCTGTGGCCGGAGAGTACGCTCAAAGAGTACAACTTTTGACGACTCAGTCAGTGTAGAAACGAATTCACCTAACAAGCTGAAGCATTTACAAAAGTCGACTAAACGTACCACTTCACTAACAAAACGATCGAAATCTCTAATTAGTCATCCAGCTACCATTCATCAAGCATCTGATGTCAAAGTTTGCTATTCTTCAAAACATACGGATAACATTGAGGGTGTCGATGTTTTCTGCCGCGGAAAAGCAACATTTAGGTTTCCTGTTAAGAAAAATATTGCCATCACTTCAGACTCATCGGCTGGGAATGCTGAGTCCTCACAGCACCAACCGGATCCGGAAGTAAGTTTAAAGAAAACATTTTACAACCAATTTCCTCACAATTTGTATTGCACATAAATGAATCATTTTAGTACTATTTTTACTAACTAAAAATGTGAAGAATGTTAATGAAGCGTACCGTATAATTTGCAAACGCTATAAAAGTGTGATACTGCCACCTTCTTAGAAAACTCCGTTGGTTGTAGAATTATTTATGTTAGATACAAGAAATTCTGTGTGTGTAGCTGGAAAATGTGACTTTGAGTCTCAACAGTGGTCATGAAGATTACATGGAGAAACTTTGTTTTTATTAGTTTCTTAGTTCTTTGGATCTGGAAAGAAGTCCAAATATTTTCTATTCAGAATGATATTTCACTGTTTTATTTACAACGTGGGCTTATTTTTCTAGAAACCGTGTAGGTAAATGTGTATAAACCCTGATATTATTGAGCAATAGTTTTGAAAGTCACTAACACCTATCTCGCCCGTTCTCTGTAATCTCAATAATGCAGATCATATCTCTGCAGGATAAATCATCTAGTTAATACCATCAAAGTACCAGTTGTTTGTATGTAATGACATAGACTACTTCATCCTCGTGCTAGACCACCTAATTGTGGTAGCCCCGGACATGTGACTGACTTTTATGAACCTATATAGTGTTTGGTGACTATACATCCTCACTTGTAAACCGTTGGATAATTCTTTCCAACAAAAATCGTGTAGCTAACGTGTATGAACATCCTGAAGGCTAGGAATATTCTGTTAACAGTTTCATGCTCAAATTATCACCGTTTAAATGACAGCAGTCGATGTCATCATTATTATGATTGGTAGTCTCAGGTTGCATTCAGACTATGCGCGGAAATTGTAGTAATATGGTTTCCACATCGTTTTAGTTGCGGGTGTTTATGCTATTAGGATAGCTGCTACCTTGGCCCAACAAGCTACATTGGCTGGAACGCTTGGGCCAACGAGGTACTACTATACCAGAAAGGTCTCTTGGATAATGGTAAGATAAAAGTTACCACTATAATGTAAGTCACTACACTATGATGGAAGTGTAAGGGCGAAGTACTGCTAGCTGGATAATGTGTAGCAACAGTAAGATGTTTCGCTTAGATGACCAGCAGTACCACACTGATGCTGCCTTCCCTACGGGAATGAGGAACTTGAAAAGTTTGGCCCCCCAAGTAGCACACTTCTCCCTGCCCCATTGTCTCCCCCTGCCAGCGGTATAGCTTTTCTCTATCTGGCGTTAGAACAATCAAATCTCTCAACAAGTCCTCAAAAGGCTGTGTGACAGACCTCAATTAGATGTTCCATAACCTCTGTGGTCACCTACTTTCTGTTTCAGATACCGTGGAAAATAACTGGGAAGTGTCAACCACCGGCATGCTTTCATTAGTATACAAGACCCAATCAAAACATAACTTGTCTTTTCCTTCATCCTCATCTCGTGATACTAGTATTAGGCTTCTTACATCTTTGCAACCATCGCAAACGATCAAAGTCATCGGGACCTCATTCCTCGTCTCTTAAGACACCGCCCACCGTCGATTTCATGTAGAGTCTTTCAAAGTCCAAACTCTATGCTAAATCGGAAAAAAAGCATCACTGGCTACAACTCTGCAGTCTGCAGCCGTGGATGGATGCTGTGTCTCTGAGACACTTATACAGGAACAGGACCCGCGTGTGGTTATTAAATTCACCTCACCTGGCCATAGTAGTGTATCTTCAAAATTTACCTTACAAGTATCCAGAGACTCAGTGACCAGCTCTAGTGGACTCGCTGGTGTAGACATAGCATTGAGTTGTAGAGCGGAAAGTGCGCTTCTCTACTGGGTACCAGTCAACAGCCGTCTGTGTGCTGTTCGACTGAATGAATGTGTAAATACTAGGAAGGATCATGAGACTATGCAACAGCAATTTACAATCTCCACCTACACATCATCAACTACAGTTCGGATGATGCGAAGGATAAATTCTATGAAAAGCTGTTAACTTTGCTACAGAATGCGAACCGTTCAGATGTAGTCACAATGTCAGGTGACTTTAACGCTCACATAAGGAAGTGGAGCCAATCGGAAAGGCATCGTGGGGATATTTACGGAATCTCATACCAACGAACCGAAAAAGGTGATCGTTTCTTGCAATTTTGCTTCTACAATCACTTGTTTCTGACTAACACTAACTTCAAGCACATAGCGTCCCTGAACTTCGAACCAACGATGGACAATGATAGATCGTCTTGCTAAAAGCCATCGTTGGAGAGGATTGGTTAAGGATTCCCTGTACCTGTTTTGGACTCCAGTCACGCGCTAACATAGACTTGTGTATTTTTGCGCCTTACCTGAATTAGAAAACAGGTGACGGTAAAGCCCTTCTATAGTCGATTGGGAGATGAGAATCTCAATTACGCATTTAGGGAAGAGATAGCTAAGCATTTGTCTGAACATGGCAGCAGTGCTCATCCTGAATAAACCTGATGTGGTATTAAATATGCTGTAGACACAACAGTAAAGACATTTGATAACCTATATTCGAAGATTAGGTAACGTCACTTGGTTTCCGCAGAGTCATTCAAACTGACTGATGCGGGAAGACTCATTCTAGCTGGCTCTGACCACGACGAAGAGCGAAAACAACTTAAACGTAAGTTGACTAATAGTCTTCGCGGCAATCTCGATTAGTAGTGCATGGATAAAGCAAGAGATGAAGAGGGCAACAGCGGTGGGTAGGTCTTGGCAACTGTTTAGATTGATTCAGGATACCGACAAGAAGAAGACGATTAGTGCGATCATCGATGAAAAGGATGGGACGCCGACAACCGCCTAGGACAGGTGGCTATAACGCTGGGCAGAACACTTTGAAGCACAGTTCAACTGGCTGTCAACAACACTTCAGTTGCCCAACACAACCTTAACCTGGATGGGACGTAGATGTCAATTCTTCGACTTTCAATGAAGTTGAGAAGACTGTGTCGAATCTAGAAGTATGCAAAGCATCAGGATCTAACAGTTTGCCACCTAAAGTTCTCAAGTATGGAGGTAGAAAACTGCCGGTCAGAGTGACGGAGGTACTGGGTAGTGTATGGGGATTGGAGTTAGTTCCATCCAACTGGTCTACTTCACTGATCATCTCAGTTTATAAGAACGAGGAAAAATCTTATGAATACCATAGGGGGGTCAGTTTGATTAGTATCGTGTCCAGGATCCTAGAGTTCATAGTTACCTGACGCCTAACTGAAGCTCGAGAACAGCAAACCCAAGAAAACCAGACAGGTTGCAGACTGGACTGGGCAAGATTGCATAGATAATATTTTACTCTCCAATAGGTTTTGGAACACATGCATACCTACTGCCCTGTGACCGACAAGTGCCATATTTTTTGATTTGAAGACGGCATTTGACTCAGTCGACCGTGAGATGTCGTGGCAGTGTCTGACCTCTGAACGGATGTTTATCGAACTCATGCAGTCGTGTAAAGGCTTATGGAGAGTCGTCGTGTGAATTGGTGCCAAATAGTGATGTCAACCAGGGACACCCTCTGTCGTCGTCCCTACTCAGCTTCGTCATAGATATACTGATGTACATTAACTTAGATACGTCTGACTTCAAAGGGGTTGACCTATTCGCTAGAAGTCATCTGATACACTTAAAGTATCCAGACGACATTATCCTGCTGAGTGAAGAAGCTGACAAAATGCAGGATCTTCTGGACGCGTTGAACAGAAATGTGAGTGTGTTTGGCACGCGTTTGACACCTGTCCAATGTGAGATGATGCTTCAGGAGTAGGATATTGGGCAAGAAAGGCAAGTTGGCCGATGAGATTTTTTTCCTTAGTTGACTGGATATGTACTGCATATGTCATGCCACCGCCTACCTCGATGTGTAGTGCTTGCTGAAGTCGAACTAGATTAGAAAAAGGTTGAGGGTGGTCAGATCACGACGTGACACCAGTCGATGAAGTCCTGTGGAGATGTAGACTGCCTGGTTGGGGTCCCCGATACGAAAGGAATCATTCGTTATGGACTCTTGGTGATATGGCTAAAAGTCAGTCACAACCGCACATATGTATTCATTGCATGAGTCCTTCTGAAGCTTTGATATTTACACTGAGTCTTATCTTCGAACTTTTTGTTCTCTCACATTACTTTATGCACTTTGATATCACCCTTTTTCGATCCACCTGTTGTGTGTGCTATTGAGAAATCTGGCAACTTGAACCGTTGCACCTGTGTTTGAGGTTCCATCTTAATTTCTCACCGTCTGCCTGCATGTCTCTTACCTTTCATAATGAGAATAAATGTCGTTATCTTATTTTCCAAAAACGTTCTCCTGAAAATATATTTGTCTTTCTGAAAGGAACTGTTTAATGTCAAGTTGTTTAACTTTGTAAGAATGTTAGAATGATACTCCTAAGATAGTTCGTATTGTTCTTCTCTCAGTAAAGCGAAGAAATTACATGATCGTCGAAGCTTAAGTATGTACCTATATGCATCTGGCTTACATTCTGTATGCAAGGCTGCTATGCTTAATGGCTAACGTTATCCTTTTCTCAAGTATTAAACATTTCATGTAGGTATGTGTTGTTCCAAGTAATTTTTCAACAACTATGTTGTGTTTCACCAAACACTTTAATTTAAGAGGTAGTATTTATCACGGACTGGTATTAGTTGAAAAACCACTGAAACCTGGGAGCACTGAACAGCTGTTTCGTCCTAGTATGGGACTCCTCAGCAAGGATGCACTTTAAAGACTAAAATCCAACCTACCTTCAAAATACATTACTGTATGGTACTCATTAGTGCCGTGCTTCCAGATGGATGTCCCGTAGTTATAATGAGAAACCATGACATATGGAGTCAACCAGTAGGAAAGGAAGCGGATGCCAACTGAAGAACTTGGTTGGTAGTCGCGCTATATCGTAAATTGACAGAAGTTGGAAACCGTGAACCATTGAACTCCGACCCAGTGGCTGGATGGTTGACGCGTTCACCGTGAAACCTGAAGGCCCTGAGTTCGATCTCTAGCCGGGCCGTTGTTGCATACTTCAGAGGAGTCCCATACTTGAATGAAACAGTTATCCAGTGCTCTCAGGTTCTCAATAGTTCTCTAGCTGATATCAGTTCCTGATGAATACTCCGTCAAAAATTAAGATTCTCACTAACCTCAGCATACCTTGATTTTAATCTTATTAAAACTTTAACCATATTATCTCAGTGTACATTATAAAAATACACAGCGACTCTACAAGTGGATTAAGGCTCATAAAAGTTTACAGGCATTAGAACATCGAAATTTACTGCAAGAGAAGGATCTCCTTCTGATTAGAGAAATAAAAATAAATGCATGTGATACTTTTAGCCTGAATTCTATGCTACTGTTCAGAAATGACTTTATTTTTTGTATATAAACGATGTAACTCATTTGGCATCTCAGTCTCATGTCCTAGCACACCAGATTACTCAAATTCCTCTTTATTGTTGTCCTTTTATCACTAATAGTTGACATACTACTAATCACCAGCCTTTTTGTATTTGGGTTAATGATAATTGTAGAACGAGTGGTTCAGTGAAGAAAATCTCTCTCTCAATCGTTTTCTTTCAAAAAATTGGGTCTTTAAATCTTTTAGTCTGAGAGCTGTTTAATTTAAGACTTATGCCATATTTCGCTTTTTAACTTTGAATCATTTTTCGATTCAAAGACAGTTTCCGCAATGCATATTTGGCAAGAACTAGGATAAATTAGAGTCTTGCAGTTACAGCTTCACAATTGATAATATCCTACAATATGATTTTGTTGTATCGTGACAAGTACTGTTTCAAAATGATTCAGATACTCATGAAAAACATGAACTATGGTTGACCAGATAACTTTTGACTTCTTATTCATTTATAACAGTCCATAGAGATTATCTAACGCTGAGTGTGATAATGTTATTATGTTAGTTGGTTGTAGACAGTCGGTTGGAAGCCCCGAACCTAGGTTTCATGCTTGTTGGCACTCGTCAGCAAGGCATATTTGCAACCTCGACGGGACCGATGTCGCGCCTGAGATTCGAATCCGCGTCACCCAGTGTTGCAGTCAGTGACATTACCACTGAGCTATTTGGGCAGAGATTGACCTCCTGTAGGACACGAATTGATTGGTGACGAGAGAGCAACCAATGTACATCGCGATGCTGAGCATCCTAGCTTGGAATCACATTGCAAATATGATCAGGACTAGACAACATGAAATTGGTTAATCTCCAGTGATCGGTCGATGTGATGCTATGGTGTATAGTTAATTCATTAAATTTTTCATATGTATCCTTTCGTTCTTGCTTCAGTGCAAAGCCATTTAAGTTGTTTATGATATTTCTTCATAATATTCGCATATTTATTTTGATTTTTATAACCTCTTGACTATACTACTCTGGATTTCTAGATTACGTGTTTAGAAGCTGAACTGTCACATCGTGATACACTTATCAAGTATTTATCTGAACAATTATCTAAATTATATCAAGACAATGATAGAATATTTGCTGAATATGAACAACAAGAAGCTAATTTAACGAATCATCTACGCCTACTGAGATCAAGATTAGCTGAGACAAGTGAAAATCTACGTAGACCAGATACTACATCTGATACTACTGATGTTTACTTGAATAGTGATTATACAACACATGTCACTCAGTCAATATCTCATCATATCAATTTTAATGTGACTGATTCTATTGTTCATCAGTTTGCAACAGAAATTAATTATAAATTATTACACACTGATTATATGAATGAAACAAACATTGAAATAGATCATCAAGAAAGATCTAGAAAGTTACAACTGGAAGACGAAAAACAAAAATCCCAACTAGTTGAATTACAAGAACTTGATCTAGCTGTACAAAATTTATTGACTTATTGGGAGGTGAAAAGTAAAGAAACTAATTATCCATTAATATGTCAACAATTTTTTAAAGCTTTACTTGATTTTTCAATATTTCACTGAAATCTTATTCTACATCATCATCATCATCATCAACAAGATGTCAGTATGCTTATCCAAATTTACAAGAGTTAAAGTTAAGAGCTGAAATAGCTGAAAAACAAGTTGATCAATTATCAAATGAAATTAAAAACTATGAAATTCAATTATATAATTTAAATGAACAGTTTAATAAAAGAATAGAAGAAAAAGTTAATGAAAGAATTCAACAAAATCAATTAAAACACAATAACAATTTATCAATTAATAATTATTTTACACCTTTAAAAGAATCTATTACTCCAACTACTTATTCATCAGATGTTGGTAATTCTGATTTATTAGAAGTAGATGAACATCATTCGATTGAATCATTACAATTGAAATCGAATAATCATATTCATAAACATAGCCTAAAGTTAATTTCATCTGAAACTGAATCTAACCCTTCAATAAAACATATATCAATGCCAATAATAGAGTCAACTATGCTGTCTGATATTTCTACTAATGACTTACTTCAACGTATGTGGGCAATCTTATTATCTAAAGAATCAGAGTTGAAAAACATCGAAATGCATAAATCTAAATTGTGGTTAGTTAAAAAAGAAGAATATAATACATTATGTGAAGCATATAATACCATTGAATATTTTAAATCAAATCAACATCAGGTTGATGAATCTTTATCGAATGTATTCATTAAACCGAAATCTGTAATTGTCGAAGTTGATGTAACCTCAACTCCGACAGAAACTTGTACACAACCTCATGTTTTCGAAACTCCTTCTACATCGTCATTTGATAATGAAGCAAAAGGTTTCACAGACACATATCCTAGTAAATATGAGATAAATGATAAACAGAATAGTACAGAATTTTATTCATTCAATGAAGATCATTGGGAAGAAGTTGTAACTGTTAGATCCATAAGAAAAGAAAAGTCTTATTCAACGAAATATTCAACAAAGTCGCTAAATTCAACTGATATATCTACATCTACAAGTGATCTTCTAACATTTTCTGTTAGTGAACATGAAATTCAGAAAACACAAGCGCAACAACATAGACAAATAGATGATTATGTAGGTTTGATTTTCTATATTTGTTCCCTTTGCGTTCACTTTAAATTGTCAATTTATTGCTAGAGATATGTATGCTAAGTTGCTAGTAAACATTTAGACAAAATATTAGCCTTCATCTTCAGTGTAAGATTCAGCAAACGTTCCAGTGAGTATAAATATAATGTGATTGGGAATTGTAGCAAGTTAAACTAGTTCCGATAATGTATGGCTCATTGATTTAGATACTTTAATTTCAGCCAACAGGTAAAATGGGTTTCAATGTCACCGTACCCACAGAGGTTCGGGTAACTCTTAGGAACGCCAGTTCTCAGATAATAGGTGTGGCTCTTTGTCTAATGCACCATTATAATTTAAGAACTAAGAAAAGGCCCGAGGTGGCCAGACTAAAACATGGCACCAATGTATAAAGTCTTTGACTGTCGGTTTGAGCCATATGGGAAGATGCAAACTAGCCGGTTGAGGTCCGCGGGACAAGAGAAACCAGTTGTTCGAGACTCTAGATGATATGGCTCAGAACCGATGTCAGCGGCACAGATCTATCCCCACACATATTATCCTCATCTTAAGGACGCTATACCGAATCTCACCATTTTCTCATTCTTCCTTTCTCTCTTTTTGTACTTTATATTTCTTTTGACTGAATTTTCTTATCTTCATCTTGGACCTCACTGCCTTTTTACTTGATGTACTGATATGAGGTGTGGCAACTCGGACCGTTACGCAGTAATGCCTGGTCCTATGTTGATATTGATGATGATGATGAATTAAAAACTGACAGATCAGCTACTCTGATAAATCTCTCGAAAGTTGTGTGATTTCTATTTGCATTTTAACTGAATTGAAAAACAAATCTAGTTGGCAGTTGTATCTGACACCTCAGCTCTTTGGTTATTGATTTAATAATCTGACTGCTTATGATTTGAGCCAGGCATTAACTGAAGTTACCTACAATACTGAAATGAAAATTACTTCCTAACACTGTACATTTATATTGTTTTCATCTAGTATTTGTCATCTGATAGGCACATTCTGAAGGAATGAAATTCACTCAGAAACCTTGTGCATATTCGTGCAGTAGGCAATGAGCCACATGTAATGTGTGAGGTCTAGCGATACTACCTGACTGCCCAAACTTTGGTAGATGGGACAGGATTCGAAGCCGTCACCCACATTCTGAATATTGTCAGGTGTAAAAAGCAGTCTAGCTATTTGAAAGATACTAAGTGAAAAATATACTCTTTCGCATAACCACATAAAGCTTCAACTTAACTGACCATGATACATATTTTCTGTTAGACAGTTTCAATGAAGTCGTAGTCTTCCTTCATTTCACCCAATAAAAATACCTGTGATAGTCACATCGTTGCTGATGTTTCAGAAGCTACGGAAGTTGAGATATTTTTGGCTCAAAGTTTTATTTAGATAGATCTATTCATAGATTTAATCTTCACTTCATGTAACACCTAATTCAAATATGATAAACTCATCCATATTTTCCTAATCTATCGTCAATATAACATCTATTTTGTCTTTGTTGAATATTTCCAGCTGTTTTTGATGTAAATTATTTTGTCACAAAAAGTACTTGTCAATATAGACTGCTTTCATCGCTTTCTCTGTCTTAGCTGTCTTTGTTTTCATAATGAGTACAATATGAAAAACACGTTATAACAGGTTTGGATCACTACACTGTTTTCTTTCTTGTAAATTATGGTCATTACTTTTATTCTACATTGATTATTTTATATCACTTAAATCTCCTTATCATTTTAGAGAGTATTATGAGGTGTAATAGTTTAACTGTATCAATCAAAGGTTGTGTTGGTTATTTGGGAAGTCGGACCAATCTTAGTAGATCAGTGAACGGTGAAATCTCAAAACTGGTACAACAAGTTGAAATGAGTTTTGCCAACTTACGCCAGCTGCCTATTGAGGGTTGAGTGTACGGTGCAAAAGTACTCTCTTTCGACTCTAGGAAATATGGTTATCAAAGATAGATGATGGGTATGAGAAATCTAATTTTGTTCATATATCATTGCCTTCATGGTATTGGCCGTGTGTCGTGTAACCACTGCACCAGCATGAAGTCACTGAATTTTTAACTGAACGGCGTAAAGATATTTAAACTTCCAGATTTGGGTCAATGTGACAACCAAAAGTGGCGATTGGCGACTCTGGGTATGCTAGTGGCTCATAATGACGCTGATACATCAACACATTGTATTCATCCTAATCAGGATGTCGAACTTCGTTGTTCTTCAATCCCTTCTTACATTCTTTTTACAACTTTCGATTACATTGTTTTCCATTTCTCCACCTTTTATCTTGATTTTTTCTACTTTTGTGTACTGAGGTGAGGTGTGATAACTTGAACCGTTATGCAATAATCCCGAGTCACGTTTTAATACTGACTGCTTGTGCCAATTACTACACTGTATCCCTTTTCTTGTTCTTCACAGTTTACGAAATTCTGACTACAAAATCATTATGTTTGATGGAATCGCTATATGAGTAATGTCGAGATCAGAAGAAAGGTAATTAGCAAGACAAGCAAGTCGATTGATGAGGTTGTGAACCTTAGTCGACTGAGATGGCTTGGATATGTACTGCACATTCCAAACCACCGCTTACCTAGATGTGCAGTGCTTGCTGAAGTTGGACTAGGTTGGAAGAAGGTTGAGGGTGACCAGACCAAGAAGTGGGACCAGACGATGAAGTCTCAGACTGCTGGTCTGAGCTATGTGTGGAGATGTAGGCTGCCTGGTTGGGGTCCTCGAGATGATAGGAATCAATGGTTGAGAACTCCTAATGACGTGGCTGAAAATTGGTCACAATGGCACAGATATACTCACTCTTTGGTTTCCTCTATAACTTGAATACTTGCACTAACCATTATCTTCCGATTTTTTTATTCTCTCCCACAACTTTATCTACTTTGCTATCAGTCTTTTCCTATCCACCTGTTGTTTGTGTACTACTATGAAATGTGGCAACTTGATCCGACGCATCTGTGTACGAGTTTCTACGTTGATTTTGTCTCTCCGTCTGTCTGACTGTGTGATAACTGCTTTGCAGCTATTTGTCATTCATCCCATTGTGTAGTGAATAGAAACAAACCGTTTTATAACTACCTATTATTTGCATGATCACTCTGAGTTCGTATAGCATTACGAAAGTTATATATGGAAAACATATTGGCGGGAGTCTTTGTAACCCACTCCGTGAATCAGTTAATTTTCCCTAAGGATATTACGTTATTATTGTGAGATCATCTACCTGTGGTACAGAATCCAATTCGACAGCCAAGTAATCTTTATTCAAACAGCGTTGTGGATCATTGGGTTCCAGGTTCGAAACCCGCCTCGCTTTGGCCTAGGTAACTTGGTAATCTCATAAGCCTTCAAACACTGTTTGGCTTATAGCAGAGTGCCTACACATCTGGCTCACATCATATTATAAAATAGTAAGTTATCTGCTGTCTTTCTTCTTCTTTAACGTAATGACGTACGATGTTAAAAGTACTATACTGAGCGAAACTGAACTCATCTTAAAATTGTTGATTCTGCCTGTTGCTTATCTTCTTCTCATGACTGATTACCTGTTATCAAAGATTCAATAATTACTGTTAGTGCCTATCTGAGACTGTGCGTGAAACCCCTGTTTTTTTACCATGACATTCTTTATGATTTTAAAGAAGTATATCGTGTTGAGTATTCTTTTGGCACGTACACAGAAAGGTGAGGTAGAGAACTCAGCTGGATTGCACACATTTTTGCAGTAGGCAACGGTCCACATCGTTTATGTAAGGGCTAGTGATACCATTTGGCTGCTCAAACCTTGGTGGGTGCGGGGTGGATTGATCCCGTGACCCAGTGATTGGTAGTCATCTCCCTAAACCACTGACCAACACAAACAGTCGTACTTCTCAAAAATTTTCAGTCATAATTTAACACAGTGAAAGATGTATGAATTATTTAAATAGTTTAATTGGTTAAGTAACCTATTTGCGTTTATTTCAAGAACCTCTTCAACAGTTTGCATTTGTTTGTTAACAGTCATGCACGCAAGCTACTTGTACTGGTCTTATTAATAGCATCTCATGTAGGAATGCCTATTTGGAAAATATTCCAAGGGGTTGTTTGTGAGAATCAATTTATTTCACAGTATTTTTCAGTGTAAATTTGTATCTTCTGGAGAACTAATAAAAAGCTGCGAATACTGGGTACATGTTTCATCCTAACCTGCGACTCTACAGTAATTTTCATACAGGACCGCATAAAGAATTGAACTCAAGTTCATCAAGTTTTTCAGCTAGGATGTAACACTCAGTCACTTAGCTGCAATTCAGTGATAGCTGCGATATGTATTGACTTGTTGATAACTACATCAGAGTGGATATCAGTAATCCTTAAACCTAAAAGACATCTACTCTGAAAATTAACTGTTTATCTGATTTCATTCCAAAGTAAATATTTCATTTCTACTAATAGAGTGGAAGACTAGCATTAAGGGCTTTTAACAACACAATCTGAACATGTTATATTTCAACGAGGTTTTCCTTACGAACTCATGTTAATAAGTGAGCTTCCAAATAACTTGATAACACTGAATTATGCGTAAGTTGCAAGCTACTTAGTGCAGATGATAGTTGACCGTCATCACCGAGATACCAAGTAATGAATTCTACTGGGTAAAACTTTGAACTGATGAAGATTGTTATCTTGTATACAGTTGATGTAATAACAGCGATTCATAGAAGAAATAAACTGGTTTGATCAAATTGTTTGTCTGTAACATTAAATTTGGAGCTGTCAGTTATTGATCTAGGCAGCTGATATCCAACCGATGAATCGCAGACTCACACACAAGTTCATCTACCGAGGTTAAAGAAACCAGATAGTATGACTCATCCTCACACAATAGATGTGGCTCATTACCTACTGAAAAGATGTGCACAAGGTTGCTGAGTATACTTCAATTCGATTTTCGAACACATTAAT